GCTCAGCGAGCCCAGTCCCATGCACGGGGGGGCGACGGCGGCGGCTCAGGAATCCACCTTTGGATGCCGGGAAGGCTTTATCAGCTCCGGGCTGACAGCGCTGACAGCAGCAACTTTGCTTTTTCTGTCGGCGAACAGGTTTGGAAAGCCTGGGTGTTTACCCGAAAGCCAATCAAAGCCAGGTCTCTGCAACATGGTCGAGCGAGGCTGCGGGAACATTGGGTCAGGGGTGAGAGGTGTGATGTTTGGTTTTCTTCTGGTGGAGAATGCGAGCTATTCCGGCCTGGGTTGTTTAATTTGCAGTCAAACGTGTTTCTTTATCCGGCTCCAAAGAGGCTCGGAGAAGGACCCACCCAGGGTAGTGTTTACCCTTTGTTCTTTCCCTGGGGCCAACCTTGAATCCTTATCAGCCTGTTTGGAGTAAACAGGTACTGGAGGCAGGAGGAAGGGTGTGGAGGATGCTTGTGGGATTTCTCCTTCTCTCCCTCCCGCTGGCGGGAGGTGTTTACCCAAGCAGACCTGTTTTGTTTCAGAGTTGAGGTTTGTTTTTTTTCCTTCTCCTCCTTTTCTTTCTTTTTTTTTTTTTTCTTTCTTTCTTTCTATGTGTTTACATTTGACTGAGCGTTCGGGAAAAGCCAAGCAGGGCCGTGAGAAACAAACCCAGGTCCGGAGCCGGACCCAGGCACCTGCCCCACAGCCCAGGCAGAGACCGTGGGGGCTCTGCTTGGGGTCTGAGAGCATCCGACCCTGACCCCAGCTCTCCCCAGCAGCTGGGCAGCCCCAAACCAGCCCTCGTGCAGGAGCTTTCTGGGCTTTGAGACCCGGACTCAGGGCAGCAGCGTGCGGCTTTGCCAGCACCGTTAGCACCCGCAGCTCTTCGCATCCCTTGGTGCTGGACGTGCTGAGAATCCCCAAGGAAATACGGGGGGAACACAGGAGCCCAAGGAGGAAAGGACCTATCTGACTGTCCCCAACAAGCTCCGGCATTCACGGACACGGGTGGGAAATGGATTGGCCGGATCCGGTGGGTGCACAGGCAGCCCAGGACCAGCGTTACCTGTTGCAGCATTATCGCCTGCTGCTGCTGCAGGAGGGCCTGGAGCTGGGGCGGCGAGAGGATCTGCTGCATTTGCTGCGGCGTGATCATCTGCGGGGACATCATGGCCACGGACACGGGGACCTGTGGAGAGGAAGGACACCGTCACCACTCCCAATTCCATCCCTGGAAAACCCTCCCCAAACGCTGACAGCCTCTAAGTGCCTCCCACCCCCCAGGCTCTCCCGGGGCATCCTCCATCCCCACGTCACCTTCTGGCAAAGGCCTTGGTCACCAGTCTGTCCTGGTGTGCTGAGGCCACAGCTGAGGACATGGCGATGGCATGGAGATGCCCTGTGGTGCAGCTGGCACCGGGATGAAGCTTCCTAAACCACGAGCTCCCCACAGCCTGCGGGAAGGATGCTCTCTGCCTGCGGCGTCTTCTTGAAATGCAATTTAGCTGCAGGAATTAGGCATTGAGAGGAGCCAGCGGCACGCGGGCAGGCAGCTCCAAACCACGGCTCCCTCCCCTCCTACGAGCACGGGAAAGGTGCCGGGCACCGCTCCTCCCCTCGGGGTCCCGGCGGATGCAGGGAAGAGGGAAACGCCAAGGGAAGCGGGGAAGATACCGATCATCCAAATAACTTTGCAAAGCAGAGCGCGGAGGAAGAGGTTACCAGGTTTTCCATAGACACATCAAAGCTTTACCTCCAGGTGACACCAGTAACTCACATAATTACCATGCCAAGTGGAGAGAGGGCTAAGAAAACCTGCCAATCCCTGCCTTTGGTTATCATAACACGGGTCCACACCCCCACGGCAAAGCGCCGGAGAAGGTGTCGGTGACGGATCCCAGCCCCGCTGGTCCTGCCCGGGTGGAGCAACGCCGCCTTCCCAACCACGGCCATCAAGAGCTGCCCTGTCCCAGCCCTTTGCCAATCCCACCAGCCCAACGCCCTTCCCAAGACTCTGGGCAGGGTTACAGCTCTGCTGTAATTTCAGAATCCTTCCTAGATGCTCCCTTTTCCCAGGAAAGCAGATGACCACCGCTGGCCAGCAGCAGGAGAGCTGGTGAGCCACCATCAGCCTTCTGCCTGTCCCTGCCCAGTCGCCTCGGGCTCTTCAAGGGACCCCAGGAAGGGGCAACTCCTCAGCACGTGGGACGCAGCAGAGCCCGAGCCAGGCTCCCCACCCAAGCCAAGGACCCAAGTTTGATCCAAATTAGACCACTTCTCATCCCCTCACTCACCGGTCTTGAGACCCCAGAGACCAAAGGACAGAGAAATAAAGCAACCGGCTCCAGAGAGCCCAGCAAACTCCAAATGAGAGCCCAGTACCGGCCAGTCCCTCCCGTCCAGGTCCCCCAGTGATGTCCAGACTCCCTGGTCTGGACCCGCTGCCCACCCTGGGGGCTGCCTCCCCCCTCCAGCCGCCCCGCTGGGACACGGAGCGGGGACGGGACCCCGGGGGCGGCCCCGGGCCGGCCCTCCCG